ATTAGTAATTGATCCTAAACACCTAAGCCTTAAGCAACCTCCTTCCATTTTTCAAATTGTTATACATACAGATTTGAAGAATGAACCATTGTGAACACATCACTGCAGTGTAGCAAGCTCTCTCAGGTAATATACAAATAAAGGAAATATAATCAAGAGGCTAGTTATATTTTTCATACCTAAGAAATTTGAGGGTTGTAATATTTTTCTGAAACCTACAGCCTTGATAAATATTAATTTCATCTCAGCTTCTAGCTGTCTCATTCTCCCCACCCCCTTCTGCAATGAAAGCTAAATGTAAAACATATGCACTGTTTAATAAGTCAGAATACAATAGAACTTTTAAAATGTACCTGCATGTAAGGTAGATATTAAGAAGACTTGATCCTCTCTCTTCTCCCTGTTCTCCTGAGCATTATGGCAACAGCATTTTCACGAAATGGGATCTGTTTTATTTTATTCCTGATAAAATATCATGCAACATACAAATAGCAGTTCCAGAAATGGACACCAGAAGAAGGAGGCGACAGGCATATCAATTAGTAAGGGGAAAATCCAAATGTCAGAAATATGGGGGAGAGATACAGCATGCAGGCAATGGATGCAAATACAGGGAAAATTCTTTCAGCTCAGATAATGAAACCAATGCATAAATCAGTGCCATTTCTCTCCCCAGTACCAGGTGATGCCTTACAGTTAATTACCCGCCAGGACCAGGATGAAAGTCATTTTATGATGACTCTGATCCTAATATAACAGCACCTGACAGATTGAGTCCCCTCTAATGAGTACTCTCTTTGTACAATCCTCTCTCAGGAACACTAAATCATTTGCTTCTAAGTACAGCTGCCTGTGAAGAAGGGGTGGGGCTATCTCATGCATTAGAAACCTGCTCTTATGAAATGAGGGGCTGTCCTCTAGGCTGTTGCTGGAAGTAAGCCTGGATGGTCCTACAAATCAATTCACATGTGCTGTCACTGTTTCATATCCAAGAGCCCTCCCTTGTCCCCTCTCCCCCCACCCGCCAGCATCTGTAAACATCTCTGGACTTTATTCATGGAAAGTCCAGTGTGTGAGGTCCACAATGCCCCCTTGTTCCTCTCTTACCTGAGGACCATCTACCTTTACCCTCAGCCCCTCCTGTCAAGCATGGGTCAGAGCACAGTAGACCCTGTGGGAACGCTTTACCTGAGCTCTTGCATCCTGGGGACAGGTTAGATTATCCAGTTTCACACTTGTTCCTAGAAAAACAAACAAATAAAAAAACACAGAAAAGAAAACCGAAACACAGCCTTGTGCCCTCTGGCTTCTCTAATTTAGCAGCTACTATCTCTCTGTCTTTAGAGTGGCACCCTACACAGTTTAGGGTTTGAGAAGCTCATCTGCTTAGAGGCAGAAGGGAGAGCAGTAGGGAGCTTGTTAACATTCTCCACTGGCAGGATGTTTGTGTCCTCAGTGTGGGGAGCCTGCACACTCCTCCAGGCTGGCCTACAGAGACCTGGGAGGTGTTGGCAGCCTTTACCTTTGGTCTTGGGAGGACTCTATCTACCACCCTAAAATCAGCTGCTGATTGTCTTCTTAAATTTAAATGATTAAGCTCTCCTTCCTGGAATCTTCTTTTTGCTTTCTTAAAACAACAACAAAAACAACAACAACAATAAAAACCAAAAAACCCCACCAATTTTTATCAAAGGGGAATACTGGATTTGCTTTAAAAATAAAGTCGTCATGCTTCCTAAAAAAAGACAGTTCCACCCTCTAACTGCTCCTCGCTCTGGCGATCTAATCATAAACTCAGCTTTATTATTCATTTCAACTTCTGCCAGAGACACGAGGTCAAAGGAATGCCCCTCATCAAGGCCAGGGTCCTAGCAAGTTTATACAAAGATGCCAGAGAACCTTTCATATGCAGCCCTCCTTGGCCCTGACCTCAGTGAATTTACCACTATCATAATCACTGTGTGCAGAGTGTGTTAAATTAAGAACAGAATCTGCAGTGCACAATGCAGAGAAAAGCTTGCCTTCTGCTGCAGAGAACTTGAAACTGTGCCTAGAATTTATAGTACCGTAAACATCTCAGGGTGGAGAGTGATAAGTATGGCTGGATTTCCTTTAGCTGTAGGAATCCAGACAGGAAGAGCCTCCTAGGGAATTGTACGTTCTAAGATGAACTTTTTTGAAACTGTTCTCAGATTTGTAGTTGGGATGCATGTATGCCAGACAGTTATAAGCAGGTACATGCAGGAGGTGGTCATGAAAAGAGGGTATCTTTCATATATTACCAAGTGGTAAAAGTGGAAGTGAGGAAAAATATTTTATCAATCAAAGAATTATAGGCTGAACACCTGCACCTCACAGTACTAGTTGTCCATGAATAAATATATAGGTGCTAGTGGAAAGAGAAGAAAGTAGATGACTTTTTCATTTTAAAGTTAGTCAAGAACTGAGTGGTTGCAGAATCCAATCACTACACTGATGGAGGGATTTTCCCTCTATTAGCAGCAGTTATAACTGGTGCTCATTAAGCTGCATTAAAGAAAGGAGACAAAAATGGGGGATTCAAAGGTAGGAGGTAGATCTCTTAATGTAAAATACTCAATGGTAAAGATACCACCATTTGTTAAAAGAAATCAAGTAATTGCTTACTTTCTGCTAAACACTGGCCAGTGACTTCACACAAGATAGATAGGACCTCACACCTGGGCATCCTAGTCTAGACTGGCAGGAGAGTGGGGGCACAGATGTTAGAGAAGTCTTCTAGAGTAAGTGGTGTCATCCCATCTGCAATCTGAAACCTTATTAATAGCAGCCACTGAGGATCATGTGTTGGGAGCAGGAGTATTATAGGCAGAAAGAACAGCAGGTGTGTCTCTTGCCTGGAGGTAAGAGAGTGCATGGGATGCTCACCACTTCAAACAAACACCGTGTGGCTGGATCACAGAGTATGGGACACAGGGAGAGAGCTGAGGATGAAGGTAGAAGCAGTTGGGGCAGAGCCCAGAGTCCTGGGCAGTTTCTGTTTTAAACTGAGGGCAATAGAAACTCAGAAAAGGACTGTAAATCAGATTAACCTTTGGAAAAGATTCCTTTCCCATTTCATGGAGAAATGATTGCAGAAAGGCTTGGTTCTTTGCTGGAGAGGCAAAATAAAGAGAAAGCTGATGCTGTGACCAGGAAAGAAGAGATGGGGAGTGAAGCAGGTTGTGACCAGGGAGGAGGAGGCTACATGCCACAGGGACTTCTGGGGTGGG